AATTGATGAATCGCATAATACGGGCAAGGTTGTGGATTTTGGGGAGGGAAACATTTGTGGCCAAGTTCGGTTTTGGCTTGGCAAAGTTTTACCAGGAGGAAAACTGCGATTGTTATCGCTGGCAGATGAAACTGGGTTAGGCAAACAGCAAGAGAAAATATAATAAAATCTAATAAAATGAAAACCAATTATGAAATATTTAAAGTCCTAACCAGATAGAGACCGTTTAAAATTGGCCATGCAAATATTTAACTACCTCAGGTCTTTGCTTAATATTTCACACATCAAACAAATATCCACAGGAGTACAATAAAAGTGAAAAATGGAATCAGTTTAATTTAAAAATTTTGTAAGGTATGGTTTCCGTAAAATTTATGAACGCATCTTCGCCTCAGAAATTCTTTGTATATATAATTATGTGCATCTGCTGAATGTCAACATCCTGGCTATTGAAAGCATCTATCAACGCATGGCCATAAAATTTGAGCACCCAGCTGGACGACTCCTCCCTATGATAAAGAGGCTATTGACTATTGGTGCCTAGAGCTGTGATTTAACCGCGGGCTGGGAAGACGACTCCATAACAACTTCGGCCTACACCCAATCCCACCTGGAGCCACTCCAATGGAAAAGCTCTTCCTGGGGCAACTCTAGTCAGCCATATGTGTTGAGTGATAAAGAACATGTTAATGGCTTTTAATCAATTTGCAATTTTTCCTTTTTTTCTATAAAGTTTTTTTTTTATTTTGTTTTGGCTCACTGGGCTGTGATGTAATATGTAATGCGAAATTGATATTGCTATGATGAAGTGGAAGGAAAGTGGGATTGGCGGGGGAATTCACTAGATTTTCTACATATTTTAATGATAGTTTAATTTACGGCAATTAAAACGGTCTACACCAGACCTCAGCTGACTCTAGCTGCGATTATATAATCAGTGAGAGAAGACAACAACAAGCAGCACCACCAGAAGAAGCTCTCCTCTGCGGGTCTTGCATAATGATCAGTTTTCTCAGTAGTGTTGTCGGTTTTATTTAAATAAAAGTATTTTTTTAGATTTTTAGAAGAAGTAGTAACATTTTCTTATTGATTATACAACAAAATATTGGATATATATCTATTTTTTCTTAATAAATAAAGAGTGGTACAACCAATAGAGACTTACTTTAATTATATAGTTATTATATAGATATTATATTTAATAAAAATAACCTATCAAGTATTAAGTAATAGTCAGCTATAGCTAAAAACAGCAAATCCGGCATCACGAGTCCTCTTCCTCCGACTCCCAAGTGATTTCCGCTGCTGGCCTGCGCTTTGGCTTCCTGACTTGGCATCGATCTCGAGCCCACCTGGCTGGGATGGGATGGCCCAGATGACTCTGGCTCTGGCTATGGCTCAGACCTCCACTCCAACCAGTTATCGGGGAGGCAGCATCTTGCCAGCCATCCATGGCATTCGAAAGCGTCGAGTTGCGGCGACAGCAACTTGATATGCAGACAAGGAAGACAAAGTGGCAGGATCGTCAATTAATTCTCTAGATGTTGAGTGATTTCCAACAGATAAAAACCTTCGAAAGCCGAAGTGTGGATAAAACGTTGCATTCTAACCATAATTTAAGCCGACTACTCACAAGAAAAAGTTACATTAAAGTTTAAACAGTTAGGAGTCAGGAAGCAAAAAAAACCGAGTTTAGGTATATAGTGTTTGCAATAATATATAAATCTAATTGAAATAAAATAAATTAAGAAAGTATACTCGTATTGATGATTTCGATTTTAATTATTTGGAGAATTTAAAGATCCTTTTCTACTCAAGAGTTGGAAGGCGTAGAAGAAACTGCCATTCAGAATCCGTTCTTTGGCCGCCACTCTTGGGAGAATTGCCTTTCTTGATTGATCCATTTATAATTGGCAGATAATTATAGCTCCATTAGCATCAAAGCCCTGGGCAATAGCTACACTTTCCTCTATCGGCGGCACTCCAGATTCTTCAGCGGCTAGTTTGGCGAGTTGCTTAATTAGCGTTTGTCGTGTTCGGGGTGTGTTCGCCCGAATTGTCGCGTTAATTGATTTTAAATGGGCAGCATAAGTATCCTTCCTCAGATAATTGGCCACAAGGAGGTGATGAATGGACAGCGTAATGGTAACTAGATTGCGCCCAGTTGATAGGGCTCTTCCACCATATGCAAAATAAAGCGTGCAGGCCCAAGGTGTCGATAATAAGTATAATAAGTGAACTCCTGCCTTTCCTCGAGTTAATATGATCCCATAAAAAACTTGTACTGTAGGTATATATTATATTCAAATTTATTTTCTGCTGGGAAATAATCAGGAGATGTAGCAGATTATTCCGGGCAAGAAAAGAGTGCAGCTTTCGATAATGGTTTAATCATTTGTAATAGAACTGAACTTGCACTTCAAAGGATGTGTTAAATAACCTTTACGGATAATAAAAGAAGGCTAAATCAGTCAACATTTTTAAAGGACTTGACTTTTTTCTGATTATTTCTGTACTTCAATTCAGTTTGATTTTTACTGTTAAATATTTATGCAGCAAATTTTCAGTCCTAAGTGCGCAACTTTCAATAGCTCATAATTAGCCATCCATAGGTCTACAATTTATCCATTCGCTTAATCCCTTTGACAATTTAACTTTAAAGCAGGATTTTAAGTCGTTGCAACTGTCGCAGCTCATTAAGCATCCAAAGAATTTTTGGACCGCGACAAGGTCTGGAACACAGGGCATGGCTTACTCGATCATAAATTAGCAGCAATTTCATTTCGCTATTGGAATTGACGGCCAGTGCCGCGCAACACCCTTCGGTTCCCATCCCAGTTCCCCCTATTGCCCCAAAATGGCAGTGGCACCAACTGGGTCCATAAATCAAAAGCAGAGCACGGCGTTTAATACACTTGACGTCAGATTTCCGCGACAATTTGCGCATGAATTAAACATAAAAGCAAGTGAGGTATACACGAGTGGAATGCCCTAGCACCGCCTATCCTCCAACCTCTCTACTCCTGGGATCTTATATAGGGCGGTTGGGTGTTTTTTTGGGAGAAGGTACACCTTTTTGTGCACTGAAGAAAACTGCTAAAGAACAGATTTAACTGGGAGGTAGAACCGAAGATTTTTTTTGTTTGATTTGAAAGTGCCAAATATATGTTCTTATAATTGTTGAAAAATTTAAAATATTAACAATTCATGTTTATTCAATTTTTATTTTATTTAGAGTTTTTTTCAATTATTTTTTTAGTGCAGTTTCCCTGGCGAGCGGGCAAATAAAATCAAAGTAGGTAACACGCGCAAATAAAACACTTGACACATTAAAACAGCAACAACGGCCGCACACATGGGTGGCCCAAAAGGGGGGCCCTCGAGTGGGTGCCTTGGGTGGGGGCGAGCTGGGCGCTAAGGGAGCTCAGGGGGCGTGGCAACGCCATGAGCAATGCGGCAACAAATTTCCATTTTGTCGCTGAAGCGATGACGACGCCATGCAAATAGGAGACACTCCACGGACCCCTGACAACGGGGACGAGCGAAATGAGCAGGATATGAGGATGCATATATCTCGGATATATATACATATACATACACCTCGCACATCCACTCACGCATTATGCACGCCTGTCTATGGTTGTGCGTCGGAGTGTCATACATACAAATTTAACGAGTCGCATTTATGATACCACAGACAAGTATAATAATTTCAATTAACGACACCCACGGGTGTTTTTGTGCCGTTGCAGGCTTATCCTAGGGATGCTGTGGCAATAGAGGTTGCGGGGTGAAAGGAAAGCGGGAGAAAGTGTGCAACAGTGTGCGAAAGAGATGGGCTAAGTCACATTTTAATGAGCTGCGTTGATTGGGTTTACTTTAAGTAACTATTTCAAAGCAAATCCGATTAGCTAGAGTAATTAAAGATTTTTTTAATTTTTATTCTTCTCCCAAAAAATTATTAAAAATAGGTTTGAAGGATTAACAGTTGGCTAATAAAAATCTATAATTTTTAGATGTTTCCCAACCAAATTCAGGTTATTTTATTTCCCTGCGAGTTTTTCTCCTTAAAATCATAACAAGTGAGAAAAGCGACTGTTTATCGCACATTTGCCAACATTCTGCTCACATAAGGATAAAGTATGCCTACTTAACTTTTATAAGGCTTAGGCGTTATGGGTGAAATGAAGAAGCAACAGTTGATGAAAATATTGCGAAAGCCGATGGGAATTTGAGGATGTACGTGCTTCCTGGGCAAAAGGAGCTTCAGTTACCTGGAGAAAAGAGTGTGTATGCGCATTATTACGCCGCTAATTAACTAAACGCACACACATGTACCTACACACTCACCTCGGCCACACTCCTTGGCCAAGTTTTTACAGCCTTCGCCATCTCATCAGCATAAAAGTTTTTAATGAGCCATTTTGTTACTCTTGACAACGCCCCCGTTGTCGCACTTTGCGCATCTCGGGGTGTAATTCAAATGCGAGGCGAATTTGTTATGACAAGCTCAGTTGACACATTTTAATTAAATTTAATTAATGCATTCGGCAGCATCCCGCTCCACTGCGTAAGCCAAAACATAATGCCGCCGCAGAATGAATGAGCATAAAACCAGGAGTGTGGAATTCAAGAGTGAAAGTGATGTGTATTTTGTTTTATGATGTGTTACATTTGTCGCCTCAATCGAGACAGGTTGTACATTTGGACCACGTATAGAAAAATTCAACCTTCATAAAATAATGAAGTGGGTAATTAAAGAATGGTTGGGGTGGGACTTAGAGTCTGCTATCACACAAATTTAAGCTTTTTCAATGAAAATTTAATTTTATTGTTATTGGCCCATACTTTATTCATGGAAAGGAATTAAAATTTAAATGCCAACTGCACTTTAGTTAATTAAAAACGTGCGAAACTATGTTAAACGAAATTGAAAAAAAAAACTAAATTGTCACATTTGTAATAATAAAATATTTCAACTCATGTTTATTATCAGAGAGTTTGTTTTATACACATTTTATTTCAAAACAAATGAAGTCACAAATTATAAATTTTTCATTTAGGTGTATTATTGACTGATTTGGATTTTTGCGTATTTTGTTTCCTTTCTTCGGCGATCTCCATGAAAACCTCTTCCATTGATGGCTGTGATAACGAGTAGTCGGCCAAATGCCAGGAGCCGCGCTTTCCTTCGACAAATTCGAACATTTGCGACCAGCTGCTATTGTCATCAGGAATATGAAATGTAAGCCTGCCACTGAACTCGTATATTTCTCTTAAGATAAAATAATATTGATTAAATAACATTATTATTATAATCCTCCTGCTGGATTTTACTTACTTTATAGTTGCATCTGGGAATTTTTTAACAAGTTCATTTTCGATCTTTAAAAGCACATCAGCCATGCTGAAGAGATTGTTAAAATTATATTTATTTAATAGTGCGAAGATCGAATTGATAACTTACTCCTGCGTATTGGCGTTTATCGTTAACTTCAGAACCATTCCCCTTGCAATTTTGTTCTTGACATGCTGGTTCGAACCCATGGCGTAGATACTTCCGTCCACCAAGATAACACATTTGGAGCACAGGGCATTCACCTCGTCCATGCTGTGGGATGTGAGCAAAACGGCCTTGCCGGTGCTGGCCTCCTCGCTTATTAGGGTCCAAACTCTAAGCCGGGAAGCGGGATCCACTCCCGAATTGGGCTCGTCCAAGCAAATAAGTGATTTAGCCCTACAGGCGATCGCAGCCGTGATTTTCCGCTTGGTTCCGTCACTGTAGTATTTAATCTGTCGATAAACAAACATTTTTTGGTCAAATATCATTTGATTTAAATAAATTTATTTAATTAGTTAATTACAAATGTATTTATTGATTTAAGTGGAGATTAAGATATCGTACTTTTGATATCGCAAAAAAAATATGTATGGGATAACACATCTAAGGAAATATTTTTGAAATTATTAGAAATATAAATATTTTTAAGATTTTTATAACTTAAATAAATTTGCCCTTTAAAAGCCTTACCTTTTTATCCAAATGCTTGGTGAATCCGAACTGATCGGCCAGCTGCTCACATCGTTCTTTCAGTATGTCTGATTTAGTTCCTCGTAGCATCAAAAAGAATTTGACCATTTGGCGACCCGTGTAGAATTCGAAGAGCGAGTCGAATTGTGGGCAATAACCGATTTCTTTCAGTGCTGATTTTCGATTCTTTTTCATGCTATAGCCAGATATGTATATATTGCCTCCGTCTATCGAATGTTCGCCAACAATCATTTTGAACGTACTTGTCTTGCCAGCTCCATTGGGTCCAAGTAGACCCACACAATAGAACCTGCAAGTTCTCTCAATTAGTTTCGAAATGTAAACTGAAAACCACATTGGATAAATATATTAAAAAGACAACGAACGAATAACGAAAGATGGATAATTAATCTTACTTTATATCTGTACAATATTATATTTACAACTTAAACTTACGTTACTGGGCTTTCGGTTATTAAGAATATAATACGTATAGTAAAAGCTAAAAGAGTTTTTAATCTATATTAAATACGCCAACATAATTTACTTACGGCTTCACGACAAAGGATATATTGTTAACCGCTAAAGGACCGCAGCAATAATTTTTGGAAACCTCTGCTACGACTAAGGCCCGACTGCCAATTTGATCTGAGTTCATACTTTTTATTTTCTCCGCCTCCTTGAGAACTTTTGGGTCATTAATATTACTTTTTCGCTGGACTGGGCAGCAATCTTTCAAAGCATACCACAAACAACCGCCATACTCAAAAAGTACTATTATTATCGAGAAAAGAATGGCGCCAACAATCAAGCAAATTATCTCAGGCCAGATTATCAGATCTGTCAATAACATAAGAATTTAATGGCATAAAGTAACATATTTAAGACTTACATTCACAAACGCAGTGTTTTACCGAGTTAGCAAAAGGGTTAACACAATTGATCTCGCGTTCACCTTCACTTTCTATATATCCTGGACTGCACACATAGAAGTGCGAGAAGCATTTGGCTAAGCTTAGGTAACCAGCTACCATAGGATGTAGGTTGGCAACATATACAATAACATACACGTATGTACGTAAATCTGGTATATAAATTGCCATTGTTCCAAAAATACTTAAAATTGTAGCCAAAAAAAAACCTAAAAGAAAAGAAATTTATAATAGGGGTACTGGAAATATATGCTGAATTGGATGCATATGTATATAATATAATATAATATATATAATATATATATATATAATATGTAATATATAATATATGCATATAAAACCAATATAAGTTTAACAATTTGCATGTTTTCTTAAACGACTCTGAATTTAAATAGTGATAATTTCATTTGAAAACTTTAAACTATTTGGTCCCGGTTTTGACACATACCTGAAAGTAGGACCAAGGACACTATCAAAACTGAGGCCGAAAACACCAAAATCATGAAGTAGCAAAATATCAGGCCCGTTAATCCCATTAAAAGGAGCACCAGCAGCAATTGTTCCCAATGAGCGGATTTGTAAAGGGGAAGAATTAGGACCAGAACCAAAATTAAGTAGACCATCATGTCGATGAGAAGGTTAGTTAGCCAATAGGATATCATGCTCAGCCCGGAAACCTCTTGTTGCATTTTCATGTGCGAGTCCCTCTCCACGATAATCATGCTCGAGAACAGGATCAGAGCGATGCATATGTAGATATAAACGTTTAATTTCTTTGCCGAGTTATCCTTGTCTATAAATATGTCCTCCTTGAAGGGAGCAGTAACTACTTCCAAGTTGATTTGGGGTCCAAGAAACTCATGGGCCAGGACATTGTAGAGCAGGTTAAGGGTCATGGGCCTCGCATGAACAAAATGTCGGGGGCCAACCCATCCAACCAAAGGAGTTTGCACGCTGACTGCAAACGGCATGAAAACAATCTCGCGACGTCCCTCTTTCGTTTTCGAAGCTTCCTCTAGGTACTCATCCACGGTTAGGGACGTTTCCTTAATTTCGATGTCATCTCCGATCACCCTCGAGAGGGTATAGGGTGTAGGTCTTATTCCTGTCGAGTTACCCGGATCTGACAGCAATGCGGAGACATCGTACCGATCGTACACACCGAAATTCATGTCCAACCTGATCAAATCTTCCGATTTGTCAATCCGCAACAACATCAATAGGAAGTAGAAAAGGGGAACCAACAGGAGCACCAGGAAGTAAACCTGATGTTATATAGTTAAGTTTTATAATTGATAATTGATTCAAAGAGCGGGAAATGTAATAAAATTATTATGTGCATCTTTGAGTTTAAATATTCAATATTCAAATGTTACGTATTTTCCGTATTTTAAAAAAGCAATTATGGTTAAATCAAGGATGTCTTAACTCTTATTACCTTATAGTCGTAGAGAAACAAAAACTTCTTGGTCCCCAAGGCCCCCCACTGATAGCAACATTTGTGTACATTTTTATCCTCATCATCGCTCTCAAAAGATTCATCGTCGTCATCTTGATTTTTGTCAGCACCACCATCCTTTCGAGGTGCTTGGAGATCCTCCGCCCCAAAAGTCATGAAAATCTCCTCTAGACTCACGGAACTTATACCAAATCCCCGAACACCCAAATCATCTCTCTTGCGTTCCAAGTCGCGGAAAAGCGCCGAAAACGATTTCGACTTCTTGAGCGGCAGCTTATAGCAAACATCACGGCCCTTGGTGCTATATGGCGTTATTGTACCCACGTGACTGGATATCAACGCGGAAAGCTTATCCACTTCACATCTTTTTCTAGTTTCGCAGGTGAGCAGGCAGGAGGCATCCACCAGGTTCTTGAGAAACGGCATCGATCCAATGCAGCGCAGTGTTCCTTCGCTTATGATGACCATACGATCGCAGAGGACCTCTGCGTCTTCCAGTTCGTGGGAGGTTAGCATGATGGTGCAGCCCTCCTTCGACTCCAGGATCAGTTTCCACAGGTCCCGCCGGGAACTGGGATCCAATCCGGTGCCGGGTTCGTCGCAAATTAGAACCTGGGTGGATACAAAAGTTGTTATCCCCAAGCCATAAAATTAATTTAAAATTAATTTTTAATAAAAAATGTGGTCACTAAAAACAAGGTAATCGAGTAAAAAAGAGCAAAATGGTACAATTGGAAAACTTTTTAAACATACCCGTTACAAATTTGTGACAACACACATGTTACTGTACTGTGAAGATGTGACCAATCATTGCAATTGAATGACAAATCGCAGATACGAAACGACTGCATGAATCATGCACATTACTATTGCAAATACGGTCACACGAGTCCACAAGTAAAAGCGAGAATACAGTGTTAAAAGATCATATAATTTCTCCAACTTTAGAAAATAGTGTTATGAAACAACCGATAGAATGAGTAAGGTTACATTAACTAAGTGTCAAGTCACTTGACTCAAGTGATTAAGTAAGTTGCGTTTTAACGATACTATTTTGTTCTTAAAAATCAACTAATTATCAAATATTTTATATTGCGTTCACAGTACCTTGACGCCCCCGCAGAGGGCACAGGCGACGCTCAGCCGCCGCTGAGTTCCGCCGGAGAGGTTCCGGACTGGCGCCCTCCGATTGCTCTCCAAATTGAGCTTCTCCAGGTACTTTTCGACCTCGGCCTTGACCTCCGCACCCCTGAGTCCTCGAAGCCGGCTGAAGAACTCGATATGGTTTGCCGAACCCATGTTCCTGAACAGTACATTTTGCTGCGGACACAAGCCGATGCACCTGCGAGCTTTGTAGCGCTGCTTCTGGATGTCATAGCCATTAACCAGAGCCGTTCCGGAAGTGGGCATTATAAATCCGGCCAGCATGCTGATCAGCGTGGTCTTCCCGGCCCCGTTGTGTCCCATCAGCACGGTGACCTGATCCTCGAACATGTCGAAGCTCACGCCTCGCACCGCCTCCAGTCTGCCGAAATTCTTGCTGAGACCCATGATCTGAACGCCTGCGGTCTTGCCCTCGGGATCCGGCTCCATCAGTTCGTCATCCAGGCGCTCCACGTCCAGAGTGGATGCCTCTCGGATGCCGAACAACCTGCGGAAGAGCCGCCTATAGGGCAGCAGGGCTTGCGGATTACGGCAACAGAAGGTTACGGGAAAGTGCCAGGGTCGGGCAACTCCGTAAGGACCTGGCCGAATCTGCTCCACATACAGACAGATGAGCACGCAGACGATACTGCACAGTATCATGACCAGCAGGACATACCCGATGCTGACCGAATCCCCCGGCCAGGCGGTCTGGAAGAGATTATCCCACTGGACACCCACACCGTAGTCTTCCCAACTGCCGGCCAGTTTGCTCAGCAACATCAATCCGGACAAGAGGAAAACGCTAATCAATGTGTCCATTGCCATCCTATTATCCTCTGAATATAGGAAATAATACGGTAGTGTGGTGGCGAACAGGGACAAGGTTGCGATCAAGGCGACTCGGCGTTTCGTGGAGATCAGGCTGCTCAACAGGAAGCTGAAGCAGATCATACAGTGACCGAGGACCATCAGGATGAACAGGAGCACCGACCAGTGGGTGAACGGCACAAAGGCGATCAAGGTGGTTTCCTCTGGCAGAACGACTTTCCAGCATATCGTGATCAGAACAAATCCAATCAAGAGGATTATAAAGTTCTGGATGTACCACGCCAGCCATTGCAAACCGGAGCAAACACCCAACAGGGCCAAGGTCTCCTTTAGCTGAAGAACCTTTTCCTCCACAATGCTCTGCAATAGAATCTTATAGAAATCTCTGATATACATAAAGCCCTTGTCGCTTTCGGATACCTTTGTCAAACTTACGACAATGAAGTAGGTTACTATTATAATCATAAGTTCGGCAAGTAATTTTATAAACGGTGCGAAACCATTATCATAAATCAGAGGTGAGGGCAGGTCCTTGAACTCTGGAAACTTGGCACGCTCAATATCCTTGTTCATCTCCTTGCACTTTTGTTGAATGTGCGCTTCGCTCAATGCCTTTTGGACTCCCATATAACCATTGAAATAGATTAAATTCGTTCCAAAGAATGCAAACAAAGGTTGCACCTTTCCTTTCCAATTTTTGGGAATGCGAATAGCAAAGGATAATTCATCGGGCCATTCGTTCCAACTTTTGCGAAACTCGATTCCAAGAACGCTACTTCCCGGATCTGCGAAACTAATTAGGGCATCTTTGAGCTTATCTGCATTTTGAAAGCCCGTGATATTGCTAGTATTAAATATTCCCAACATTGACTCGAGAAATTTAGTGTGAGGGGCATAATATATGTTTCGGCTTTATAGCCTATCATTAAATTTTATCCGAAGAATAAACAGATTTATTTGACTTACGGAAGGCTTTCGAGGTAGAACTGGACCGGAATTACTCCTTCAGTTTCTGGTTTATCTCCTATTGAAGGAAAAAGCCTCAGACACATAAGCAATACGGGCAGTATGGCAAATATTATAAAAAGGCTGACCATGTAGCACTTTTGATCGAAAATCAACAAGAAGTTCTTCCATACGAGCAGCAATAATTGTACCAGGAAGTTGGGCCCTTTGCGCTCAGCCATTATTAATATGTTTTTCCGAAAAAGTGTATAAGATCCAAAAAACGTGTTGATATATAAATCACTACAAACTAAAAGCAAACACGAAATTCTAAGCCACTTTGTTTTGGGTGGGTCAGGACTTGAATTTAATTCTGTGGGTAGAACCATAAAATGTAATAATTTCATATTTTTTAATTGCTGTGTATAACTACCAATTAAAGATCAATAGGCATTCTGTGTAAATTTATATAATTTAAAATTTATATAATTTTAAATAGTCTATATCTACAACAATGATTCACATCTCATATTTCTGAATGCTTTCAAGAACAATGAAACACATTCACCTTTTGTTGTCAGCTTCTGCAACTTTCTAAAGTCAGCCCCAAATATCGCCCCAAACTAAGACCGTTAACACACATAACTTCAACAAATAGGATTACTGCGTCACTTTCAAGCCAAGGAGCTCCGACTAAAGTCTGGTCATCATCACAGGGTTATCCATTTTACCCGAACAGCAGCCAGGGCGAAGCCCCAAAAGTCAATCAGTCTGAAATTATAAATGCAAATTGATGAAGCCAGTGAGGCTGGCAGCTCATTGATTACTGGGTTTGCTGGGATGCGGAGAGGACATAAACAAAGGTCCACCGCACAGGACACACACATCAAGGCAATCGACGACGACGACTCCAAGACGGATGGACAGTATATAACAATTAGAAGTTTCCTGCTGATGCACGGAATCGGAGGACACGGGAAGGCACCTGGTAATCTGAGGCCATGTGGACAAACGACGGTGGCAAAGGCAACTTGTCAGCTCGAATGACGTTTTAATAAGTCACATAATTCATGGGTCGAAAATGGGCGGAGGGGCTGTAGGTTGGACTCGGCACGGAGATAGGTGGTTGGAATCTACTCAAAGGAGTTGAGAGACTGGCGAATGTGAATGTCCCGCGTTCCCCGAAACTCCAGAATACTTGTTCAGCATGTAGATTGCAGCGCGACTGTCGTACAGTGGGGCTCATCAGGACCAGAACCACTCAATGCGGGGGTTTTTAATTATTGCCATTAATAAAATATTTAATGACCTTGCGGTACTTTTAAGTAAACAAATGTTTGTTTTATAAAACCTGTCAGCACCTTTTAAAAATGCAAAATTGATTAAGAGTAAATACAGTCTGGCAAAAAATTAATGTAAATTAAAATGGTTGATTTAATTATTTACTTTTTTAAATTGTAAAACGAAGCTCTTAATTCTTATACAAAAATGATTCTGAATAGTTAAAATGTAACGTAAAAAATAATTATAAATATGATAGGGTATCACAATAGTAATTTATATCTATAATAAAAAAATTATTATTAATATCAAGTGACTGTTATTCTTCATGATTTTTATTTCTTAAAGAGAAAAAAAATTTATATGTATAATTATTTTATATTTATATATTTTTAATGGAATATAATTTTTAACATATAAAAAATTATCAAAGAAATTTTACATCTTATCTGTTATCCTTATAGATAGCCCACTGTGCACGTTTACCTGGTTAGCCCGCGTAGCATCCACTGCCTTCGGGGCAAATGGCGCTTTTGGGACGCTTTGACACATGCTCCCTCCGCACGCTCCACCACCCACCCCCTTTCGCCGTCCCATCAGCCCCCATCCCACTGCTTGTCAGCTGCTCATTTGTCAATGTAATTGATTTTATGCCTGGGCTTTTGACTAAGGTTGTCGTGCCGTTAAGTTGGCCTGTGTATGGACTTAGTGGAGGGGATAACTTGGCCTAGAGCAGACAGTCAAATCGGAGATCACAGGAAAAATAACAGTCCTTCTTGTTTCCTAATTCATTATCAAATAACAAGGTTTCGCATTCATAATTATCGTATTAATTTACAAATAGTATAGAAACAAATTTAAAGTAATAAGTTTTAAATGATCTTTTTTATTATAAATGGAGGGAAAAAAGTTTTGTAGTTTGTTCATTTTTATTAAAAAAAAGGTGTAAAACTTCAATCGCATTTTTTTCAGTGTGCACATCATGGTCAAAGGGACGAGTGAAGGGGCATCCGCAGACTGGATTGGTTTTTGCGGCTGAGATAGTCGGAGCTACCTGGCAACTTGGCCACTAGCCTTTTGCCTGATATATTATTCGATTACAGTTAGACGTAAATCAAGTGGAAGAGCATGATGTAGCCATCACGTGAGCTTCAGGTTCAAAATGCGAATTGGGGCTTGAGTCGGGAGAAGTTATTGCGTTGACTTCATATGACAACGATTCAAATTGAATGTCTGCCCTGACCGATGGTCACTTGGGAGGCTGGAATCAATAAACTATGAAAGAAGGTCAAACGGATGTGGTCACACATGAGGTGATGTTTAAACTCTCTGTTGAGAGGGATAATCTATGGGTTTTGGCATGATTAAAGTAGCTTAAAATAGGAAAAAAAATATAATTTGAATTGGTTGTTATCTTTAAAAATAGTGCAATCAAATTTTGGAACTATTTCAAATAAAAATTTTTCCTTAAATAAAAAATATATATTTATATTAATTAATTTTAAGAATAAAAAATGCTCGTTGGACTGTATAAAATATTTAAGTGTTTGGAAAATATCGAAATGGGGGAGCCTCTTACTTCCTTTTAAGACTTAAATTTTAAGTGTCGTAAAATTTTCTGTTAATATTTTTTACACGGCTTTTAGCCAATATAATGAAATATAAAAATTCAGCGTCGGGTAATTTTTCTAGCTTTTCAAATTTGATTTTTACACATTTCGTGACGGCATGATTGAATGATGAATTGAGGAGTGAGAGATTGAGGCACAACTTAATTTTCAATCAATGCACGAAACCAGAACAAAAGCCCGGCCAAAACCGGCGGAGGAACCGGTAGCCGGGAGCTGGCTGCGACTGAGGCGGCTGTTTTATGGGTGAGCGCATTGTATCCGCGAGATACATAGATACTTCTGTTGGCCAGTGCCCGAGGCGCACACACGCGTTTTGTGGTGGCAAAAAAATCCTTGGCGCTCATAAATTTTTATAGCTTGTAATTATTTGAAATGTCGGGCTGGACAAGTCTACAGTTGGGCCCCCTTTTCCCAATCTCTCACAATTATTCCGGCTTGACTGCTGTTAGTGTTGTTGAAAATTATCTGGCTTTTTTTAAGGTCAAAAGCCGGAAGTTTTTTAAATTCAAATAAGAAAATTTTACGTAAAAGTTAATATTGTATAACTCACTTATAAATATAAAAACAATACCTACTAAGTAAAAAAAAAAAGGTTAACTATTTGGTAGCCAAAAAAATATCTATAAATAAGTATCTATATAATTTAATTCCTTTTTTTCGGTTTTTTTTTTTTAGCTACCTAAAAAAAGTTAAGCACAAAGTTAACACCAATGGGCATTCTTATTTGCGCATGCGCGGCAGGCGGTCCGAGTGTATGAGTTTGGCAGCTTCCTGCTTTGTTTGGTTTTCGGCTTTGGAGCAATGCGAGATTTATACTTTGGCTTAATTAATGGCAATGCTTTCGCTATTGGGTTTTATGGCTCGTACGCGTATCTTGTGGATGCATTCGAACTGCCGGTATCTGTAATTAGTCGTGGCCAGCTGAGAATCGTGTTTACTGTGCTGTCTTGGCCAAAACTATCCGCCTTGCTCTCTCTTAGGTGCTAATAAAGTTGTCAGCTAATGAAATTGGCAATGCCAGGAGCTACAATCACGATTGTTGAACGATAAACGATTAATAAAAAATGTTTGGTCCACAGCTTTTACTTCGTTCTATGGTCGCAATTAGGAGTTAAATATATTGAGTGTGGGAATCAGATATATATATATATGCGTATACAATAAATTACTTAACATTTAAGGTAATTATAGTTTGAACAAATTTTCTGATTTTTACCTTTTGAGTTTTTATTGGTAGAGTATCAAAATTAATACCACCAAACGTTTGGGTTGCAAAAGTTCCAAAGATAATAATATTCCACACTTTTCTAGGGGATAATCACGACGCTGTAACATATCAGTGTGCACTCCCGAACATTAAGCAATATCGCTTTGCTTGCTCATTATCTTCACAGCCGGCACTTCCCCGATTTCCCCAATTCTCGGCCACTTTCAACGCCTCGGCGAGCAAACTCAATTACTTAGAGAACACACTTTTGTCCCGCACTTCTTCTTCTGGCCCGCCACGCCCCCCCAACCGCTCACCGCCTCTTTTTCATCCTGAGGCGATTCCTGTCTTGGCTTTGGCTTTCAGTTTGACTTCGTTTCGTTTCTGCCTTTCTGCCCGGCAACTTAAAATGCAAACATTTGCCGAGCTTCTCTGGAGCGGCAGAGCTCTTCTCTACATGGCTGTTTTTGCCTTTTTGATGATTACAAATTAATCACACTTTAAACATGGCAATTACGCTCTGGAGGGGGCCACAAAACTTGCATAGACACTTGGCCCGGTGGATCCCTATCCCGATCCCGAACCCGGCTTCCTCAGCAGCGAACTCCGCTTCTTTTATATGGAAAATTGCTTCCTTTCGCTGTTTAACTTTCGTTTTAATAAATAATCAAGTAGGCTCTGAGTCGGGAGCGCAGCTCCACTTCAGCTGTGTTAAGCTCCACTTTAGCTTCTCGAGCACTCAAAAAAAAATAACGAAGGAAAACACAACTATTCAAGTTCAACTGAAGTTCTTAATTTCAAAAGATTGTGTTAAAAATGTTATTGAGGATGGATCTTGATGCATCTTTTTGTAAAATAAAATTAAAAGTATTCGTTAGTTAAACTGCCAATTACGAATTCAAATACATTTATTATTTTTTACTAATTAAATTATTAAACTTTTTTTCTGAAACAACTATTTTGTAAGAGTTCTAAATTTATGAAGAAAAACCTAATGCTCAGATAATTTTTTTTTTTAATTTCATTTGTAAATTCAAGCATTACACCTAAAATAAAAATTTTTTTGAATAAAGATTGGATTTTTTCCAAGTGCAGTTGCTCTTCTTAGCTGCTGTTCGTCAAGTCCCTCGTGTAATTTCCAGGCAATTTCTCATACCCATAATTGCATAATTTCAAAGTTGTTGGCAACTTAATTGCGCTGCACATTGGACCAGGCCAAGACCGATTCTCGGGCTACCTGTCTCCCTCTGGCTGCCAACATGCCGTCCCGCTTCGGCTGCCGTCTTCGGTGTAAATAAAACCTTTTTAAACGGTTGTCAGGCGGTTGGAACCCACGATGGACCTAACTGCCAGCGACTTCAAAAGCGCGCATCATCATCAAACATGTGTTGCTGGACTGGGTTCCAGATCAACTCCCCTCCCTCCCCCGCCAAGTCCGCCCCCACTTCTCCCCCTCCCCTCCACCAATTCGCCCTTCGCCCCGTGGTCATTTGCCATCAAAGTTAATATGCTTTATATTAAATTTGTAGCCTGGCCTCCTTTTCTGTCCGGTTCAACTGCTCTGGCCGGCAGGCATTTTATAATCTGCATCAGCCCTCCGCCCACCGCCAACTTTTCAGTCTTGTTTGTGTGGAATTGTTTTCGTTTTTCCCCACTTTTTTCATCCAGCTTTTCCCCTGCGTGTCGCAAGCATTTCGCATCAAATTACTCAATTAATTTCACTTAAATGAAAAACAAAGTTAAGGCCAGCGTTAAATGTGGGAGAAGCAGAAACAGGAAATGCTGCGGCCGGTCATTCCCACCAGGAATTACCAAATTGGTAGGCATTTGTGTGGAAATCGCGGATAATTGGTCGAGAATAAAACAAGTTAAGGAGCCAACTTTTGGTTCGCAGGACGTAAAATGATGGCGAAATTATATGGTCCGGAGGATCAGGTTAAAATTAAATCAGGGGAATAAAAAATGTTTATGTCTTTAATCAGAGCATTTAAAATAATTTGATTCCACGAGGAAAATAGTAAAATCAACTTCTACAAATTTTAATACAGTTGAAAATTGAATTTTTTACAGGAAACAATATCAAGTTATACCTATTATTACTAGTTTTAGAAAGTATTTATAAAAAAAATCTCAATTCTAAATAGTTAGTTTAAAAAAAGTACTTAAGGAAGTACATCTAAAGTTTAAACCTTATACACAATTCGAAAAAGTTCCTGTAATGCCATCAGAAATATTCAACTCACCAGGGGGCTATTATTTCTCCCTTTCACTAGATCCAACATTTGACTGGAATCTTGTGTTACCACCTCTCCAAAACTTTGAGGCATCTGGGGATGCCGCCTCCACAAATGTACATGGAGTGAAGAACGTAGAATCGTGGTCTTCAAAGGAGTCGACAGTAGTCAACGAGCATTGCCAAATTGATTTATGGGCACATTTCTTGCAAATGAGCCAAGCAAATCAAAACAAGACTGCAAGTAGGAGCATGTGTTCCTGTTTTCCTCACCATTCCTTGGATTCTCTCCACTGGCTATTGCCAATGTGGACCGGCCACAGAGCCAACGAAATGCATTTGGCACGCAATTACGGCCCAAAGTGTTAATTGCATTTCCGCTCTGCTCTACAGCCAGCCAAAGGAGCAGAATCACCAGCAGGAGCAAAAGCTGGAAGGCTGCAGCCGGGGCTATCCAAGCCATCAAATGCGGCACGGCCCACAGCTCACGCATTTGGCATTAACCAGAGACAGCCAACAACACACTAGAAAAAAACCAGCTCAAAAAAATTATATGGAAGGTAACAACATGAGTGCAAGTCACCAAATCACCTTTTTATTATCATCTCAGTTAGAAGTTAAATTGGCTCAACCTAATATAATTAATTCGTGTCCCAAGGACATTAAAAAAAAATTTCAAATATAATACATAATTAAAAATATGTATACCCTTGCCCCTTTTTTTTTTTATTTTTATGATGCAACGCTTTCCGAATGTCCAAAAAATTTGTTTGCTGAAAATTGACATAAATTTAGATTTTTTTTTTGCTTGACATTTGTGAGGACTGCAAGGGTATATCAAGAAATCAAAAATGATTTGGTTTAGACATACGATTATTATACATTTTTGATATGATATATGATATTTAATATATGATATAAAAAACATTTTTTCTGAGTGTAGTTGGAGAGCCAGCCTAGCTAAGCCCAAGCCGAACCAAAACATTTGGCTGAGATAAGCGAGCGGCAAGTTAACGGAGCTTTTTTGTGTGCTGCAGTGCGGAATGGAGGAGAACCCAGTGGGGCAGAGGGAATATAATGGCCAAGACGCATGCGTGGCACTGCGGACCTGGCCAAAAACAGAGCAGAGAAGCCCAGACACGCAGCAGGCGGCCAGATGGAGCGAAACTAAGTCAAACATTTGTAGAACACGGCGGAGAATCCAGCAGTGGAGCCAGATTCAGATGCCGGAGATCTCCCGAGGGAATCGCGGATGGAAAAGTGGAAAATTTATGGGCCCCAAAAGGCGAATAGATGTCGTAGATTCCGCATGCTGCACTGAATAGTTAACAGTTTCGGAGGGGGAGAGTTGGAGGAACCCACCATGTAGATGCCACGGATATATGTAAAATATAGGTTGCTGCAATTGATAGGGTGATAGCAATCTCTTTGTGAGATAACCCGAAAATACGAAAAGTAAGCATATGGCCATTTATGGTGAACTTCCCTTGAACTCCGTTAGCAGACCAAAAGTGCTTTTTAATTGGTCAAACGTGCAATTTGCATAGACCATTTTCAGTAGTAGTTATCGCCCGGAGGTCCGACATTCGAAACGGGTCCCAGTTTCCATTCGGGGATCCTGCTCACCATCGCTACTTGTGGCAGCATTTCAGTGATAAGCGGTAGTGGCAAAAATGTTGGCCAACCACTCGCCGGTACCCAGCTGGCTGTTCCGCATTTGGCCAAGCTGCAATCTCGAAAGTCGAAGCCCCATCCCCTTGGCGCTGTCGGTTTTGTGGCATTTGTATTGGCAAATCAATGATAATGACATTTATTTGAGCCAACTCCGATACGCTCGTCGCGCGTTCTCGTGCGGCTCTTACCCAAATCCGTTAATAAGCCATTTTGACAAATTGGATGATTGCCGACGCAATCGTTCGCCTGCCAGGAGCAGATGGGACATTCCCCACAATTGTGAAAGTGTGGCGAAAGTGAAGATAAAATGTCAAGCAAACAACCTCTCGTTTGATACGGAATATGGCTTGCAAATGGGAAAATGGCTGCCTGTTCTTTGGGGACTTTGAGTGCGAAATCATAATGATTGGGGGAAATGGGAATACTCAAAATAAAAGCTACTAGGAATCAATTCGGCTTGAATGTTTTTAAGTAAAATGTAAAGGCTACTTATTCATTTACGTTATTATAAACTTCATTTGGAAAATATTATTTTATTTCATGGAATGTTATTGTGGTTAATTTGTAATTATTCACGGAATTAATTACATCATCATGTCCCTCTTATAGCAAGTAATGGTATTTTGGCACTCGGCATCGTGCACTTGATGGAAAACTATAAAAGAATAAATTTATCATATTAAACACTAATATTTAAATTAAATATTTGTGTGTATAAATCATTACCGTTCTTGGTGTTGAAACAGTTCCATTGACTCAGTTCACATTGGCCGGGAAAGGTGACCACACACTTGCCATTGCTGGCGCAAACGGATAATGCCGCTTTGGGGCACTGGAAATTGCATTTTCCGAGTTTCATTTCCTCGCGATGCTGGGAAATCAGCTGTGGAATGTGCGCGTGAACCTGGTTCACCACATGGGAGACCTTATCGGGAATTACGATAGAGCGACCTGTTTTGGATCCATTTGGCTGGTTTGTTGTCTCGGTTTGCTCTTGATCCACCTTGCTATTATCCTGATTTTGCTTATCCTTTTGCAGCTGCTCCTTTTCCCTTTGCGCCTGCTGTTCCCTCTTTTGCTTGATGGCCTGATTGACGGCCAAAGGAATGTGTTTCTCAGCCTGTTGCATCACCTTGTTCACATGCTGTTGCAGTTTGCCAAGTTTCTCGGCCACATCAATGGGTTCCTGGCCGGGAAGGGAGAGCACCATATGCTCCACCGGCCGCATCACAACTTTGTTCTGCACCACCGGCCTGCCCTGGTGGATCAGGGTTCCGGTGGCGTGGTGGTTGGTAACCTTCACCTGTGGATCGCCAGCTTGCACCGACTGTAGGCCAGATTGCAGCGCAGGTGAAGTCGTTGGGATGTGGGCAGTGGGAGACGAAAGGACATCACCAGAGTGTGCCAGTGGTGGAAGGAGATCTGGATGGGGCTTGACGACTGGCGCCCCACTCCCACTCCCAGTTCCACTCCCATGCCACTCCACCGGGCCACTCAAAGTATTCGCAGCCTGGGGTTTGTTCTTTATGTGCTGGAGCACCTGATTGACATGGCTGGTTATCAGGTTCTGGACGTGAACGGGCAGTTCCGGCTGCTGGGGCTTCCCCGCCGTGGTCTTCGGTGCGGTTTCCGTGGTCTGGGGCAACTCGGCGGCGAGTCCAAGCGACAGGAAGGCTGTGGAAGTTCAAGGATTCATAGTTTTCTTTTACGCAGCACAAAAAATATTCAACGTTCTTTCGCCAATTTAATGCATCTCTATTAAATTAATCTTTGTACAATCCTATTTAATGAATTTCAATTTCTAACGCGCGAGGTCAAGAAACTTAGGATTTTGTATTAAAAAATAAGAAGTTAAGTTAAGTTAAAGAACATTAAATTTTTCTATAATCTTTTCTTCTTTAATAAAAAGAAAACTGACGAACTGTTAAATTTTCTTATTGCCTTTTTTGTTTTCACTAGGCACTATGAAAATATATTATTTTTCTTCTTCTTAAGCTGTGTAAAGCTTAACAAAATTTTGGCTCAAGCTTACCTAATACCAAAATGACTTTCATGCTGCTCAGATAATCCACACTTGCGTTGCTTTTCGACACTCGAAGGTGTTCTGTGTCTCTTCCCAAAATGTTTGCACTTTATAAAGGCTTTTCGGGCTCCCTTAAACGTCAGCAGCCTTGCAAACGATTTGTTTAATAATATTTGTTCATGTTATTATTTGGTTTTTATGTAAATTCTGAACACACGAGTTGCTAACAGGTTTTCGGTTGCGCTTGAACGGACCAGTGAGCTGAGACCCGCTCATTGAGGGAAGGTGTCGACTTGTCTGGTAAATCTCATCATACTGCTTCAATCGTTTCCTTATGGAAACGACATTTTAAAATAAGATAATAATGTGGTATTTTTGGAGAAAATCCATAAGTTATAAGTTAATAAGTTCAACAAAAATGTTGACATGCCAAAAAATATAGTATAATATATATAGAATATACTATAATTCATCTTTTTGAGAATTCTAAATTTGCTTTATATTTTCTGAACACCGCTGCTCAGAAGTTTATTAAGTCATAAAAGTGCAGTTAGACGAATTTTTCTATAAACACGCATCTATATTTATTAAAAAAAAAAGTAACAAAAAAAATATATTTCTTAATGTAGGTACATACATTGCTTATAAATAAAGTTAATCCTCTTTCGACAAAATAAACATTTAACTTCCTCCTAATTTAAATAGTATCAATAGTAATTAAAAATGGGAAAATAAAATTATTTATTTCAATTTGATACACATAATTTAATTGGAAAAATTAAAAAATTGTTTAATGAGTTGAAGAGATTAAAAAAGTGAATAATTCAATTTATCACTTTCAAACAATAAACTTTAGCGCCGTCACAGAAACCAAGCGGAATTTTCCCCAACTAAGAAAAAATGAACGCATTTCAAAGAGTACTTTTAGGCGACAGCCGCAGTGAAAGCAAATTAAAATGCGAACAATAAATATGCAAATTCGGCATTTCAGAGTTTTATTTTTAGTCAGGCGGGGGACGTTTAATTACAACGCAGTTAAGAATAAAAATGACAGTCAAAGCTGTTGATGCCGCTCATGATGATGATGCAATTTAATATCTGCGGCAGGTGTTAAAATAAGGGATTATGCAGGGAATCAGGAAGAACAGACCGCAGCATCGGCGGCAGAAACCGAAAGCTTTCATCAGCACAAATCTGTTTCGTATATAAACTGGTCGAAAGTCGGTGGCAAAATCAACAGTTTTACAGTTGCTGCGAACACAGCAAGGTAAACGCAACAAAAATAAACATCAACAGTTTCAACCGAAACTCCTTTACATACCAACAATGAAGCTCCTGTCGCTGCTGTTTCTGGGTTCGTTTTTTATTAACCAAAACCTTAAATCATTTATTATAATAAGCGATTTTACCGCAGCTTTTGTTGCCTATACTGCCGCCAAAGTGATGCCCGTGACGCACAGCAACAATTTGAGTATTATCGATCAACATGGCAAAAGGGTTTATGCCGACCTAACCGACGTTAAATGCGATTATTATTGTGCCGAAAAGGATCCCTCGGTGTGTGCCACCAATGGACAATGCCTTTTGAAGTTCGAAAGTCGTTGTGCCATGGCAGCGTACAATTGTCGCAATCCCCAGAAAATGTTCACGGACGTGGAGGACCATCGTTGCACCAAGGATTGGGAGCCCCTCTGCTTGGAGTCAGATCTCAGGGAGTTCGGCCTGTAAACTGGGTTTCGGTTGAAAGGTTGTAGAATTAAGATTTAATAAAACTGAATTGTAAAGCTAAACTATCTTTTTGTAATTAATTAATTTATCGTTAAGGATTTTTTTGACAAAGAAATCTGTTTATTTCAGGCTACTGCAAGTTTAAGACTTTCTTAAATATAAAGTCATTTTTCGGATATCAAGAAAATGGATCCAAAAATCTAAAAAAAAATTTGGGATACAGTTTTGTTAAGATTTTTATCAAATCCAAGATCGGACAACATTTAGAAAAGTTATGGGCTTTCAAGAGCGACATTTTTTAAGAAAGACATATTTTTGGCGGGGTGACATCATAAAGATATAACAAAAAATCGACCCAAATATCAAAACCAAACTAATGACAAAGCTCTTAGAGAACATCATCACAGTCATTTTGAGGTACACCAATTCAAAATCGGATATCATTAAAAAAAAGTTATGGTCTTTGGAGTTTTGATTTTTTGACATGCATCACCAAGGATTTTTTTTTAATTATTGAAAATAATAATGCAAATAATTATTTAGATTTTAAGCATTCAATCTAATGTAATGTAATTCTTTAAAAATACTTTTAAAAGATTTATTTTGTAGAATATGTTGTATATATATTTAACTCTTATCCTCTTAGTTTCTGGTATTTCAAGGCTTGAGGTCCTCCTCCTTGCATCGCCTCATGCAGACTCCCAGTCGGCAGACATCCTCTTCCACAGCACGGAAGGTCGAATCCCGGTTTTTGCAATTGAAGGTGTCCATTACGCACTGATTGGCAAACTCATGGACACAGACTCCGTTGGTGGCACAAATGGGCACGAACTCGAGCTTAGTGCACAACTGCTCGCAGTTTTCCATCGATGGAGGAGCCGTTGTCATCATATCCGTTGGAGACATTGTAGTCATGGCTCCCATCAGCAGGTGGAAGCAATTCCTTGTTGGCACCTTTTTGGGCATGGGTGTGGATGTGAATGCGGGTATGGAGGTGGTTCGTCCAGGTGGCATCACGACAACAGGCATAAGTTCCGAAGCACTGGCAACACCTGGATTGGGAGTTCCATGGTTAGGGATCCCGGGATTCGGAATTCCATGGTTAGGGGTTCCGGGATTTGGAATGCCATGATTTGGGATGCCAGGATTCGGAATGCCATGGTTGGGAATGCCAGGGTTGCTCACTTCTCCTGAATTCCGAATGGATCTTGCCTTCCTAACCTTCGGAACTCCATGGTTGGGGATGCCAGGATTCGGAATACCATGATTAGGGATGCCAGGATTCGGAATGCCATCATTGGGAATACCACGATTCGGAATTCCATGGTTAGGGATCCCGGGATTCGGAATACCATGATTAGGGATGCCAGGATTCGGAATGCCATCATTGGGAATACCACGATTCGGAATTCCGTGGTTCGGGATGCCAGGATTCGGAATACCATGATTGGGAATGCCAGGATTCGGAATGCCATCGTTGGGGATTCCGCGGTTTGGAATTCCATGGTTGGGGATGCCGGGATTCGGAATACCATGATTAGGGATGCCAGGATTCGGAATGCCATCGTTGGGAATACCGCGGTTCGGAATTCCATGGTTCGGGATGCCAGGATTCGGAATTCCATGGTTTGGAATACCAGGATTAGGAATGCCATCGTTAGGGATTCCGCGGTTCGGAATTCCGTGGTTGGGAATGCCAGGATTCGGAATACCATGATTAGGGATGCCAGGATTCGGAATGCCATGGTTAGGAATACCAGGGTTGTTCACTTCACCCGCATTCCGAATAGATCTTGCCGTCCTAACCCTGTTCTCCTCCTTCACAGTGGGTGGCACTACAACTTCCTGGACAACATGGACCTTTCCCGGCTTTATCTCCTGCACGGAGGCGACTTCCTCTTTATCCTGACTGGTAAGGATCACTGGTTTCCCATTGGACAGCAACGGCACTTGGACGGTAATCCGACCGATCTCTGAATTTGGCACAACCTGCGCTGTGGCGAAGACAAAACACAGCAGCACTGGAAAAAAATAAAAGTCAAGCTGATTCCGGCTCCCCGTTAATAAGAAAATATTAGCTGCCCACCTGCGGCCAAAGGATAATACGACTTAAACATCTTGAAACTTCAACTCCAATGTCTTCTCTGTCCTTGACTGCTGGATAACCCGGCTTATATAAGAAGCTCAAAATCAAATGATCTTACGCAATCTTCCCTGGGAACCTGTTCTCAGCTTCAGGCTTCCTTAATAAATAAAACATTTATGTGCATTGTCTTCGAACGAGTTTCGCTAATTAGCAACGCTTTGGTTTTAGGGCCAGTCAAAAAACCCCGCCTTTGAGTTTATAAAATATTATCATTTTATTTTGATAAAAGTACTGAGACTTGCATCTGGTAAATTACATTTAAAACTCCATTTTACTCAGCATGTCATTAAACGTTATGGACTTTTTTGTTAGAGTTATCTAAGCCTTAATACACATTAAAAATTTCCGTTTAAGGCAATCAAATTTTGATGAACGATTTTATATCGAGTTTTCAGTTTTCTTGGATATCATAATATCTATTTATAGGGTTGACCGCTTGAGTTCTTCTGTTGCTTAGACTATTAGGGATCACCTTCGTTTGGAGTTCTTAGGTGAGACCTTTGCATGTGCTATCCCTAAATGTTTGCACGTTACGTCCATTTCATGTTCGGTTATATATGCAGAGTAAGTTTAGTTGCAACTGTGCTATACATTGACATATGTTTGTGGGTTACGATATAAGTTTGCAATTGTATACATTTTACTAGTGATAATTGCTTTCTTTTTCGATCCAAATTAAATATAAACACCGTCTTCGTACCTTGGGATTGTCCATACCATAAACGCAAATTTTTTGATAGATTTTTTTTAACTACTTTGGGGGCAAACTAAGGAAGATCCTTTTGCGAGTACAAATTGAAGTATAAAGAGTACAGAAAGTTGAGAAGTAGTAAAAATATATTGGTGTGGAAAAAATATGAAAACTTTAAAGTGAAGAATTCATTATAGCAAAAGCCTTCTTAGCTGCCTTAACAAAATTGGAAAACATCAACGCTCCTTTAAAGTTCCTCATTTCGTGCTGTACAAATTCGCAATCAGAGTTTCCATTAAAGTGAAGGTTAAACTCTTTTAAGACTTAACATCTAACAATATTTATAAGTAATATCTTTAGGGATCAACAACACTCACTATACAAAACTCAAAACTAGAACGAACGAAAATAAATTTTTACACAATTTCGGGCTTTCTTTTTTACAAAACATTCTCTAATCGAATTAAGGACTTTTTCACCATTTTGACATACAATCTTTGTGTTCTCTTTCTGTGTTGTTTTGGTTTAAAAAACTACAATAAATTTTTATAAAATAAATTACGACTTACGTTAGGCATAAATACATGTATAGAGTGTAGCTTAAAAAGTTAACATAGAGTATGATTTAGTTAGTTTATTCTTTTCAGTTAATGTTAGGTGGTTGTGGCTCTCTATAGAGTGCCTGGGGATTGGTTTGTTCTTCCGTTTGGCTGCTCTACTTCCGCTCCATGGGCTTGACCTCCAGCAATTGAGGATAGTTCTCCACGATGTTGAGTAGGATGGTGTCAATGTAGTGTTTGAGTCGCACATTTTCATCCTCCTTTTCCTGGAAGGCCTGTTGCAGCTGCAAGACATAGTTTATTATTAGTACTCAAGTCAAGCTTTGACCAACATGAAAACACAAAAAATAAAATGATTATTGAGATTTTTATGTACACCAATGAATGTTAGACCAGATGAAAGTTTGTATATATATATATGTCCTTAACAATTTTGATAAATTAGAAGACCATGAACCATCATTAACGTTAAGTCAAATTTAGTTTAAGTCAAACTGCAATGCGTGCACAGTGGCTCCAAAACCGTGTTTAATTAATTCGTTTTTTTTAGTTTGTGGCTTTTGCGTGATTGAAGCATTACCTGACTTAAGGATGCTAATGTGGCTGAATCCACAGAATCCTGTAATACAATAAATGTCATTTTAAATACATATGTTGGCAGATAAAAAGTAAATGTTTTTAAATAAACGCATGGCAGTACGGTCACTAGGAGGCTCTCAAACTGTAGGTTTCTAAAGCATTTTCATCAGTATTTCTTTTGCGGTGACTGTGCGTGTGCTTTTGGACTTGGCTTCTAAACTCTGTGTTTTTGTGGGTGTGGGGATGACGGATTGGACTACACTAAAAGCGGAAGCAGGCGATATTGCAGAGGTGGGCTTTGGATACACACCTGGGCTTGTGACATCTCCTCCAGTTCCTGGGCCAAACTGTTGAGCGTTCCGTTCAGCAGATGGCGACCCTGCTCCACGCCATTCGTCAGCATGGTGGCCTGGTTGGTCAGCATCGTGGCCTGCAGCTCCTCGTTCTGCTCTTCGAGTGCTGTAAACAATAAATAAATTAGTTAAATTCCATCTTGTTTAAGATAAAGAATAAAACGTTTCAATACTTGTAATTTTAATTTGAAATGCAATAAATTATAATCTAACCCACACTCAACCTCCCTAGCTACTCACTTCGATTCTTCTGGCGCATCTCCTCGAGCTCCTGGTGCAGCTCCTCTAGTCTTATGCTCTCCGGCGACGTGGTTGGCATCGCCCGGGCGCCGCTCTCCTCGCGGGCGCGCTGAAGTTCGCGGCTCAACTCCACCATCAGATCCTCGGCGGACTTCTTCTCCTGTTCGTGCCGTCGCAGAGCCTGGGCCTGCTCCTCGTGCTCCTGCTGCAGGACGCCGATCTGGTCGCGGGCCAGTTCCAGCTGCTCCTCGGTGCGGTGCAGGTCGTTGGCCTGCTTATCGCATAAAACGCGCAGTCGGGCGGCCTCTTCCCGCAGAGCGGAAGCCTCGATCTCGGTGGCCCGGATCTTCATCTGGCAGTTCTCGTTCTGCAGCGAGGCTTCGCGCTCCACGCGGGCCAGGATCTCCCGGTGGCGCTTCTGCTCTTCGGCCAGCCGCTCCTCGGCACGCAGCTCCGACTGGAAGAAAAAAAGAAAGTGTATTGCCAATATTAAAGTTTAAGAAAAATGAACTCCAAAAAATTTGTACATATATTCTTCTCATTCAAATAATATGTCTCAATTGTTGTTGAATTTGAACTGAATTTTAAAAAACTAAATGTTTCTCTATGTTCAAACCAACAAACTTAAGAAATTTCGTTTTTAAAATAGCAAAGAAATTGATGAACATGAATTATTGCACTTTATATAGGATACTATTGATTTAATCTTGTTTTCCAAGTACTAACCTCTCGGTACTGCTCCTCGAGCATGTGATATCGCGCCTGGAGCACCGCATATTCGGTTTTGGTGCGGGTCGTCCGATCTTCAGCTATGTTCTGTGTATCCGACAGATCGTCCACCTTGCGCTGCAGTAGCTCCAGCTGTAAATATATAGATGGAAACAACTGATAAGTCTATATTCGAAAACGAAGGTTCGCGGATCGACTAACACAATCTTTTTTCATGTGCCGCAGATCGAGGAGCAGATCGTTCACCAACTGCACATCAGCCATGGGATATTTCACATACATTTGCCTATATCTATATGGTTTGCAACTGTGTTTATTTCTGTGTATAAATCTTTTTCACATTATTGAGGAATGCCTATTTCGCGAAGGCTTAAGAAAAATTCAAATTATTTCTGCATCGTCGCGTAGTCTTTGCTCATTTGATGGTCGCAGAAGACTGCCGACACTTCGTTTATATTTTTTCTCGGAGCGACAACGACAACTCACTGAAAATGTTGTTAATTACACCAGCCAACAAAAGCAAACAGTTTGTTGATAGCAAAACTTGTGCTTCAATATTGGAACTTTGGAAAAATAAAATTTTACTTAAGCAGCAGCACTTTGATGCCTTTCCTACACATCTGCCATCCCACTTTGGTTGCAAAGTGCTATTGGCATGCCTTGCCCATATGAATCTCATAAATATTAAGCATACGCCCCATAGGCAACCACTTCAGTAGAAGGCGTAAAAAGACACGCACACACACACTGTCGTTATTTTGCATTCAAGTTTTGGCCAACTATTTGCTGGCATGTGCAAAAATCTGTTTTCGCAATTACAGATTGGCTGGCTGCTGCTTTTTGCGCAATTACTCACGATCCGCCCGCACTTTTAAAAATATATAGGGGATTTAATAACAGATGATCTGAACATGAGTTGGTTGCCTGCTTGCGGTGATAAGAAATTTGCAAGATGACTGCACTACAGGATGCCGGCGGGTTTTGATATGAACAAAACAAAATACAGGGTGAATAAACCAGGTGAAATATTTTTATTTTTGTTTCTTTTAAAATGAAAAAAATAAAGATTACTTATTTGCTAAAGCCTTAAATATTTAATGAATTTGTTTTAGTTTTAATTTGTTAAAATAAATTGCTTTGAAAGTTTAATTTGAAAACTAACCAGATTATAATATCAGAACTTTTCTCAACTCACAATGTATTTATACCCCTAATCTCAATGTGCTGCTACGTTAAACAATAGGTACTAATAATGAACGACATCGCGGGATTCCTGTTAATTTAATTCCACCACCTTTCCTAAGGACACCCTCACCACCCCCTTAACTTTGGCCCCCAGAAATGTCAATTGAGAAGTTCAATTAGCGGTTACAAGCGGCTGTTATTCGGGGTCGGCAACCAATAGCTATCAAACTGTGCGGCATAGGGTTCAATTAGCCTTAATTAAATGCAATTTGCTGTCAACAATTCGCAGTTGTGCATTCTTGTTTGGTTTACAGAGCGTGTGGCACAATATATATTATATTAGATCGAGATGAGAGTGGAGCAGTGGCAAACGATGGATACACGGAAACACAATCGACGGCAAAGGCGGCACGACGGGTACTGAAAAATGGGCCTAGGGCCCCACCAAAAACAAACAACACACAGAGTCATAGAAATGGAGAAATATTCAGAGAGTGAGAAATATACTCAGAGAAGAACAAGCTCGCTGAGTCAACCGAAAAACACAAAGTACGATATGGCAGGGGTCTCAATTAGGGGCTGGGTATGTGTACAATGAACCATGCCAAAAAATCTAAGCATATTATATAGAAACTAGCATTTAAATTAAATGTCTACTGAATTCTTCCGAAAAAAAAATACGAAAAAGCCAAGAAGCAGAAAAAAGCAGCAAAAACAGAAGTCGCGTCTCATTCAGAAACCGTTTGGTCAGAACGTAAACAACAACAGCAAGAAAGTAATAAAAATAAAATGTTGCTGAAGGCATAAAGAGAAAACAATAAAAGTGTAAGACAAATTGAGTAACAAGTGACGAGGATTTGTATATAGAAGGAAAAAGTTGATGGTATAGAATAAATATTACCCTGTCTTTAGATTGCTGTCTTCACAAAGAAGAAATCTGTCTATCGCAATATATCTATCAATCTTCATATCATATCTATTTGGATTTACCAGAAGAAGAATCGATTTAAGTGATTTTACTTTTATTTTTAAATAATTGAGGGACAATTGCATTTATGTAAATTTGCTTATATATATTCCTTGAAAATTATCAATTAAAGTCGCATTGCTTTTTTTTAACTAACAATGTATTTATCTAAAATTATCTGTAATGCAATATACCCATTTTTTATTCTAGACTTACTATTTATAAAAAGAGTGGTCTGGCTACGGTTTCTTTAAATGGGATTTACTTGTGCCCGTCACCTTTCGTCTTTCTCCAGCCTGAGAAAGGTGTTCCCGGGGTCATTAATGCCCCTCGGCCTCTTTGAGGGTCTTTGATTTTTCCAGTCTCGTTTTGACAAGTTGATGGCACGACAGGTGCGACCGAACGACGGGAAATTTTTAATGACAAGTGCGGAAATACGCAACAGATGTTTTGGCGCCGTGAAGGTTGCCCCGAAAATGGGGAAAAAGTGGAAAATTGGGGAAAATAAACTTGAAAGAAAACAAGGTGTCACAAGTTGAAGTGCCCGAAATAAAGGTACGATTTTAACGAGGACACCTATTAATAAGTTAAAAGGTCAAAGGCTAATTGGACCGCTTGCTCTAATTAATTGGGCATCGGTTTCTTTTTAAGTGAAGGCTACTAAATCAAAACAAAATTTGTAGTAGCTTTACGATTTTTAAATGTTTTCTTTTCTGATTTTTCTTTCTTTTGTAAATTTTTTACCATTGCCACCAAATATAAACAAAGATTGCATTACATCGACCCGGCAAATTGCTTTTCTTTGTTTTAGTTCGCTCGTTAACAGCTCGTAAATATCGAACGGAAAAGCAGATGGAAAAAAACGAGGACCATTCGCACAATATAATCGGCATTTGCTTTGACCCCAAAACGAAAATCTTGACTTGCAACACATACTCAGTTTCCTCTTCTGGCGATACAAAGCCCTACGATTCTTTTCATTTATCTAATGAGTTTCCTCACTAGTTTATGTGGATCAAGTATAGTAAACAAATCTAGCATCCGCCGGAGGTTTATCGCTTTCCAGAAGCAAAAATTGACCTCTGGCGCAGTGGAGGGTATTTCAAATCATTGCCTTCCATTTGCAGACCCAGTGGGAAAAAAAGCTCTTTAATTGGTTGCATAAAGTGCTGGGAATTGCATCAGTAGCTGGAAGATTCTTTTCTTTGACTGCCATAAAACTGGAGCAATCGCCTTAGGCATTATCGTTCCATGGGTTTTTCTCGGTTTTCTCTACATCCACATGAGCTCGCTTCTCTTACTTTCGTTGACACATTTTCCCTTCACGGCTAATCATCAATTTTGTTACAGTTTTTTTCGGTATCATTAATTTTGGCTTCCTCAACAAATTTCTCAAAAAGTCTGTTTCGATTTTCCTTTCTTTTCTGACTGATGACTTGTGCTCGATGATCTCATTTGACGCAAACTATAATATATTTCTGTTTATAGTTAGCAGATGTCTGGCAAATTATATGGCAAACACAACAGTTCTTCGACTTTGAAATGTTATTTTTGGCCCAGTTTTGACGTTAAAAAAGGTAAATAAGTCAAGGAAATCGTAAACAACGTTTTCGAAACAATTTATTTTCAAAAAGGTGGCAGCAGTTGGAAGAGAAAATCTTATGCCACATTTTTTTAAACTCGAGGAGCGCAATCAGTTTAGCATTGATATTATCGATTTTTTCAATCAATAAGAACCCAACGTTACATTTTCTTTCTTGTTTTGCATATCAACACTAAAAACTTTTCATTTCCAACTTATTATCCACGTTAAGACCACACTTTCAATGGAATTTTCCACCACACAACTTCAACTCACTTCGTTGGTTTCCAGCATATTGTTTTAGCTTTTTAGTATCGATTAAAATGTCAAATCGTTCTGAAATTTGCCACAACCGCACCGAACTAAACAGTTGAACTAAGGCAATTCAAAGTTAGACTAAAGCAAATTGCATTCAATTGCGGCTTATTTATGGTGAACGGACTGGACATTATTGACAGGCCGTATATACTATATACTACTCAGATGTCGTGACATGCGAACTAAATAAAGAGGGGCGTCACCACCCCCAAATGAACCCTGAACTTTGAATGAAATTGGCCCCCTGAATCGGGGGAATTAGTAGAACTTAGCTTACTTGCTCGTTGAGATTATCGCAGATCTCGGCACTGAGGGCCCCGTTCATCATGCCAACAGGTCCTGATCCTCCACTGCCACCTCCTCCACCACCTCCTCCTCCTCCGCCGTTGGTGTCCTCGAAATCACAGAGTAGTTTGTTCTTGAAATTCTTCAGGTTCTCCAATTTGAAGCCGTTTGTGTTTGTGTTGTTGGTTTTATTGTTGAATTTACTTGTCAAGTTCTCCAAATTGTAAATCTTATTATTATTATTATTGATATGATTATTGTTGTTCGATTCGATGCTGTTGTTGTTCGTCTCAAGTTTGTTTTCAATAAAAACGAGTGAATTGGGCTCCGAATTCGATGGCACAATGTCCTCAAAGTCCGCTGGGTTTAGGCTCAGGAAGGTCTCCTGATCGATGAGTATAGGCGGGTGTTTTCCAAATCCACAATAATCGCCACCGGCACCGCCAGTGACTCCCAAACTGTAGGCGTTGCTCAGCGGATTTTGCGAGGCACTCGTGTTAAAGCTCAGATTCAGATCTTCCAGACTATCCGTAGATAGTTTCCGATTTTGTTGCGCGCCAATCCTGCACTTGTTGTTGTTCAAATTGCTGTTGTTATTGTTGTTATTCTTGTTGCTCTGCTGATTTGTGGGTCCTACGAACTCGAATTGGCCCGCCCACATATCATAGGCTAAGTCGATGCTATCGGGCTGGCTGGCAGGTTGACTACTCATGATTTGCTTTTTGTTTTACTGTTTTTTTGTTTTAGGCAGTTTTTATCTTATTTGGCTAAATGGTTTTACTGGGGCGTGGCACTGGTTGGGGGCGATTTCTGTTGGATTTGTTCTCACACTTTGATGTTGTATTTTATTTTGTGATTATTTTTATTTGAGTAGGAAGACGGTTTTGTCTTAGGTTTGTAGGCACATAATTCAGATATTTTTGTGTTGCTAGGTTTTCATCTCTTCATACACTTTAAGGCACTTTTCTGGGCATGTTTGGGCTTTTCTCTGGCTAAATTAAATATTGTACGCATAAGTAAAATAAAGGAAATCTTTTTGGGCTTACAATTAAAATGATATTTATCATATTTATGCACTTATCACTTTGTTTAATATTTATTTCTTTATAGATTTTTATGTTTTATGTTTCCTTTGTATTTTATAGTTCACCTTTAAGCTTAAAATATACTCTTTTACGATAATAATTGCTTTTTTTGATTTCCTTCCCATAACAGTCCCATTAGTAAATTCCCCTTGCATAATTATAAACAGACCTATTTTTTTCGCAGATCTCCCCTCAAAGATTGTCCCCCACGAATATCTTTCTTTTTTCACCAAAAATGAGTTTCTTGAACTGCCAGCAAAGTTCAGCAGACAAACAAAAGAATTTTCAGTCCCCCCAAGCAGATAACTGAGTTATGCAGAAAAATAATAGTAAAAAAAAATAAGTAGAAGCTTAGCAAATGATTTCTTCTTTTGTATCGCGATGGCCTTTAGCACAATTCTTAACAAATTGAAAGGTAATTGTTTGGGATCGGGATTCGGATTTGGATGGGTCTCATGCAAAGTGGAGGGATGCGGAAAGCAGATCAAGAAATTGACTGGAAACAAAGGCGGAGAACGGTGGAAAACCATAAAGAATTTTTCTGTATTTCATGCAGGAAATGTGCGCTTGCAAAAAGATAAACAAAACAAAAGAACCGACGAAGACAGTCCAAAGAGGCGTGCTCCCCGATTCTTCTCCTCTTCTCCCGACCGAAGTCTCTTTCTTTCTACACGACTGAGTTTGGTTTCTTCTGGGCTTCTGGCTAAGTTAATTTCCTAGTTGAATTGATGAACTTCGTGTAGATAAAACAAAGCAATGGCAAGAAGACGCTTAGAAGAGGGAAAACTGTTGGTGCATGCAATTCTTCTGCTGTAACTAAAGAATTGCATAATCTTGTCGGAGACCGTCTTCGCTCTTCATTGCTCTCTCTTCTGAGAAGATGATTCAATCCATCGCTTGAATTGGCGTCGGGAAATGTGTCATGAGTTTGAGTTTTTCATCTGCTAAATTGTTTATAATAAATTGTATGAATCAGAAAAGCAGAGCAACGGGAATTATACAAATTAAGAAGACTGGCAAAGAGAAGAGAAAACAACGCAATTCTGCACATCGGCTAATGTCAAATGGGTTTAAGTGGCTTGTCATAATAAATTAGAATTTATTTGCTTACGAAATTCGACAGCTAAGAAATGAGAACATTTTTTTAACAGCTCAAGAAAATATTCTTCAAAAATAATGTTAAACGGAATAAACGATGCAAAAAACATAGTATTTTAAACATTTTATGTCTTCTATTTTTTCTTATTCAAAACTCTCTTTACTTTATTCTCTTCGCTTTTCATTTCAAACCACAATCCACACAGCCGAAAACAGAAGTCCAACCAACTTGACCGCAAGACTCATTGATCTATGGACAATTTTGTCAATGAAGCATGGCAAACGCAGCAGCAACAACAACATTAACGTGTACAACAACAACTTTCACCAACAAACTTGTCTGGTAAACAACTGAAAATAACAACAACAGACCCTGGCATAAATATCTTGTGCAACTTGTTTCGTTTCGAAGGAAAAATATGAGGAAAATTGAAAGTAAGTGAAATACCAACTTCAACTACATTTTCTATTTTCAACTGCAATATTTTCGGATCTTTATGCAGTAGCAGGCACGTTTTATGATGCATCGCTCATCGCCTAAACGCTTGAAATCCGAACTGGAAGAATGTCTGGGGTTCAGATGAAATATCTCAGTATTAATGGGGGATCTTATAATGAATGCACACGCGCTAGTCCGGGAACTATTCGAGTTTATGAGTTCCCAGATGAAGCATTTATGTGGGGCCGTTAAGATTGACTTGTTTAGCATAAATAGCTTAAGGGGTTATATACCTTTTTGAGCGAAAAAAATTAGGGAACTTTGGAATTTTTTTCAGGTGTTAGCAATTCTTTTATGATACTGAGGTTATTATTTATTGATAGTACATGTTTTTATATACACAACAAACGTTTGTTCTTAAAAAAATATAAATAACTTTCGAAGTTATGGCAATTCTCTCATAACCCTTTTTTTGTTATAGCGGCTTGCGGTGACCACGATGGAAGTCCAGCGGGTCAACTAAAATCAATAAACCAAAAAATTTTTATTAGTTTAGTATTATTTCTAGTTCGTCATTGAATTACTTCAAGAATATTTGGTTTTTTCTGCATACAGTAACAATTTTTTCAAAAAATTGAATTTTCGAGCTCTAAAAATTTTATTAAAAATTTCTTATCTGCAAAATCGAAATTGCCGCATAAAAACTGATTCAATGACGAACTCGATACAATCATTACGAATATTTAAAAAAAAAATTGAAGAAGATCGATCAAATAGTTCTTGTGCAATCGCGGTCACAGCAAAGGCACTTTTGGAAAAAAACGACTTTGAGATAATCGCATTCAAAGTTTTACGTTGCGTTACAAAGAGTGACGAACCGCGCCTCAAAACGCTGTTTTCCTATCGAACTATTATTCGGATCTCTTCAAAAATTTGGGAAAATGTTCTCTAGGGGATATACTTTAGGATTCAGCTAAAAAAATTTTTTCGTTTTTTTGAAAAAAAAAAAGGTATATAACCCCTTAAATGTGCGGCTATATTAGGTAAAAAAGTCATGGTTGAGTTGGGATAGGGCGCGTGGTATAAATAGAGTTGTGGGGATCGTTGAGGAATGTTCAAGAAATTCGAATTGGGAGTTTAAATTTAATGGGTTTCTACATTTAATTGTATATCCATGTTCAGGAGAAATACCAAAGATTAATGAGTAGTTAATTTGTTACTCTTATCCTACATTATCTCAAAATTCTTGTGGTTTAAGCTGATTCTTTTGATTCTTTTCACCTTCGTAATATTTTGACTTGGCAACAAATTCGTGCCAATTACCCCGGCTAACCTCGATTTCTTTGCCGGGTGTTGCAGTTTGCATTTGCAATTATTTCTTCTGTTGTTGCATTTTACATGGCAATAAACCTTTTAGACGACCGACCGCCCACGCTAAGGCAAAGAACCAAAAGGTGAAACTGATTAAAACAACATGCTAACCTCATTTCACAGCTCGAAGGGAAACGTCAAGAAGGCGAAGGAAAACAGTCAGAAGTCGCGACAAACAGCAGATGTTTGCTGTCACAAACTGATCTACCCCAAATTAGAATTTCCCCCTATAGCAAAAATTAATACTGTATTATCATATAACTAAGAAATTAAAAGGTTACTTGGCAAGAGATATATTTTCTGACAATAAGAACCAATACAGATATGCTAATCACAGTTAGCCACATTATATAAGCCAACCCTCTTTTCTCTCTCGACCTTTTTTTTACGACCAACAGAGCGTTAAATTATTTCTGTTCAGACTTCAAGGCAAATTCGTAGACAACTTTACGTATCCTCTCTGTACAGCTGTTTTTCACCTCATCCCATATTCTTGGTTTTTCATTTCTTTTCGCTTTGAATGTCCGACATGTATCTAATTACCAGAAAATGCAATGGCTGGCTAAGTTTGCTTTTCTTTTGCTTGGAAATGTGAAATGCCGTTTGCTTTTAGTAGACAAGTAGACTGAATCATTCTTAGCCTTATCAAAGCGTTCTGCTACTTTTATTGGTAAGGTGCCCTTGTCGAAACGAAATAATCACTTAACACATATAAAGAGAGGTCAATATAAGGGCCAATTTAAAGCAGGGAATGACTGATAAAGATTCGACTAGTTTGAACAACCGAAAACAACAAGAAAAGTTTATTTCATTTATATAAAGTCATTGTTCAATTGATTGTTGAGTAGCCGAAATGTAATATTTAATAAGAAACATTACAATTTTAGGAAAGATAAGGAATTAGTCAGCCGTAGTATTAAAATAAATAGGTATTGAATAAAAGATACAATACAAAATAAATAAATAATGAAATACAGCCATTATTTATAGAAAAAATACCCTTGCTTTCATGAACCAAAACAATCAAAAACTAAATTGTTAATTAAGTAAACTTTCCTTTTTTAGTCAGTCAGTTTGGTTTTTTACGATTTCCATATCTTTTCAAAAATTTTCTGCCTTGGCACATGCCCGGCAATCAAAAGTAGCATAAAAGAAAATTATCATTAGTTACTGTTCAAAAATTGAATTCCACAAAGATTTGCATACAATGGGTGGAGAGGGGAGGGTGTAAAAAAGAGGATGAGTCGAAAGAGGAGGAGCTCATTAAATGCAAATTTTTCTCTGCCACTGTGCCTTTTCATGCAACAAAGTAAGACAAGAAGAAAAGGTTGTAAAATACACAATGATTGAATGATTGAGCAAAATTGGATCAGGAATGCCTTACACTATGGAAAACGTCCTAATTTTGTAAAAATAAATAAAGTCTTTTAACGCCACAATGGCAAACGAAGAAGTAAAAGAAAATTACATATATTCAAACGATTCATTCACGAAAATATTGAAAAAGAATGTTTTTGAGCATTATTCACAAACAAATGATACAATCAAATGTTTTGCCCTTATTTATTATGCCAATTTAAGAGAATCTTGAAAATCCTAAGGGTGCGTAATTTCTACATTTTTTAAGTTTCCCCAAAATGGGATTTACATTTTTTGCAAATTTTTAATATGGCGTGTTATATATTTTTATTACAACCACAATCGGGGGAGGCAAACAATTTACGATTAAAGCACGCGAAACGCGAAAAGCAAACTGAATGAACCACAAATTCAGGGGCAAAATAAACTGAGGCAATCAGGGAAATAGAGAAAGAAGAGAGACTGGGAGAGCGAATTCGGGGAGGCGCAATCTTTATAAATAGTACAAATAATAATCAACAAACAAGAGCAATGACAAGAGAGCGATCCCCCCCAACGAAAAGTTTTTCGCCATATGTCCGAGGGTGATTCTCTCGTCGAGTCCGACTCCCTCTTTACTTTTCGAACATATGGTCTTTGACTCAGAGACAGCGCATAATTATGTGGAATTTTTATACGGTCACCCCCAACCACTCCCAAAATCCCTCCCCACATTATATCTTTTACTCATTACTAAACAAAAACGCAAGTGAATAAGCGTGGACAAGAACCGAAAGTCAAGAGTAACGGGACGCATGCGGGTTGGATAGTAATCCCCATCTCATCCCATTTCTTTCGTACACCCCCTTTTTTGTTGATGTCATCAGAGGTTCTTTCCGTTCTTTTTGTTGTTGTTGCTAACTTAGGCCTTTTGCTTATTGGTTTTAATGTTATTTCCAGTTCCGGTTCGTTGTCTTCTTCTTTTTTGCCTCGGCCACTTTGCCGTTAGATTTATATGCCTACTAATTGACGAACCATCGCTAATGAAAGAATATTTTCTTACCAAACTTAACGGTACGGAAAATGCCTAGTCTAGGAAAATAAATATGTACAAAAGAAAAAGATTGTAACCTTCTATGAATTTCAAAATCCTGTGCATAATTTTAAAAATGAAAATATCACATCCCTCTTTACATTCTGCTTAGAATTGTAATTTTTAGGTGTTTATGCTTTGTAAGTTTGTTTACTAAATTTCTTTAGCTTAATAAACACATATGTTTTCACATGTAAAATAACTATATGGGGCTTATGAACTTTTTCTATCTTATCTTAAGTACTTTTAAGGTTTAAAGTTATTAAAACAAAAAGAGAAATACGTATTTAACTTCGCCATAATTTTTTGTAAACACAATAAAGGCACAATATAATATTGATACCTTATTATTTATTATAAAACAAAATTAATTAAATGTTATGTATTATATTAATTAAGTTCCTGCGTTTTTTGATCATCAATTACCACCAGGCCTTTTAAATGTTTAATACCCACATCACAAAGTTTTTTAATTTGTTTTATTTTTCATTTCTTTAGTAACCATTAATTTATTCATTTATCAATTTTATACCACACTTGATTTCCATTTTTTTGTTTTTCTATAAAACACTTGACGGAATTATTCAACCGCACTTTTCAATTTAAGATCAATCAACCAATATATTTGCCAGAGGGTATGGAAATTGGAATATAAGGCGAAAAAGAGGGTATTATTTTGATTAGGGTTTTTCACAACAGACCATATAATTAACGTGTTTTTGTTTGATTTCTTTTTTTTGTATTAAATAACCGTTTAATGAGCCGAAGGCACCTGACACAGCTGATAAACGATTTCGATCGATAAAAAACTAAACGAAAAAAACAACACTTGAACACACACAGTTAACGTTAATTTTCGGTTGAATTTTCTTGAATTATAAACCTTTTTTTGGCAATTTGCTTCAGGGGAGCAGCAGCAGCTGCATTTTCCTTAGCATTTTCCTTGGCAGTTGCATTGCCCAACAACAAAACACCCGCGCGAGAGAGAGAGCGCGACTGGGAGAGAGCGGCGGTTCGCTGCGCTGCTCCGCTTCTTTAGTGTTGTGAACGCGGCAAGAGTTAAATGCAATCTGAGAGAGGAAAGCGCTGAAAAGCCAGCGCCAAGCGGCGGCCCCTCCTCTGCCGGCGTCGGCGTCGCCAGCGACCGCGACTTGTTTTGGGTGCCGAAAAAAACTGAAAAGAAAAACAAAAAAACAGGGCCCCAAAGCAAAAGCAAAACAAAGGTAACCGAAAAAACCCACTAATGCGATGTAGTAGTGTTGGAAATTCGTATTTTATGCACTCTGAAAATTATATAATTCTGTTCCCTAACACTAAAACTGTTTAAAAAATATTTGCTATTCATTAAAAATTAACTTTTGTTGAAAACATATTTATTGAATTATTGTAAAACGATTTTTTACCAACTACCAATATGATCTCAAAATAGAGAGTGTTTTTCTTTAAGTGTATGTAGCTTAATAGACATTTGCAAAGTGCATTTGGGTAAAGTGGATAGAAAGGCTTGAGGGAAAGGTAATGGGAGACAGCACAAGAATCGAGTGGAAAGAATCAAAAGCGACACATGTATGCAAGCATCTCTTGAACTAAATTGAGTCAATTAAAAGTAATGGAAAAGCAAATCAAAGGAAAATGAGTCAGGGAACTTTATAGTTCAGTGATTCAGCGAATTGGTCTGAAAAATGAGCGATTCTACTAAAAGAAATGGCAAAAGCGGCTCTAATTGCATCTTTCTATTTTATTCTGTTTTATTATATAATATGATATATTTCCTGCTCCCCTATGTTCTCCTAGATTTTATATGAACTTGAACGCAAACGTGAACTTCCTAACAGTTGATTCCTTAAATGTAGTGAGGTGTGCATCGCTTTAAGAAACAAATTGTAGTAATAGTGTTCGATTGTGTAGGCTAAGTTTAGAGGGACCCGCAGTCTTCAATGATGATCTTCTTGCTGGTCTTTCCCTCCCTCGATCCGAAGGATTCAACCTTCTGGACGATCTCCATTCCCTGGACGACCTTGCCAAAGACGACGTGCTTGTTGTCCAACCAAGTGGTCTTCCCGGTGCAAATAAAGAACTGGGAGCCATTGGTATTGGCACCGGCATTGGCCATCGAAAGAACCCCCGGTCCAGAGTGCTTCAGCTCAAAATTCTCATCGGGAAACTTGTTACCGTAGATGGAGCGTCCTCCGGTGCCATTTTGATTGGTGAAATCGCCACCCTGGCACATGAAATTGGGGATCACCCGGTGGAAAGGACTTCCCTTGTAGCCGTAGCCCTTCTCACCGGTGCAAAGGGCTCGAAAGTTCTCCGCCGTTTTCGGGACCACATCCGATCGCAGCTCCATCACAATCCGACCGAGCTTCTCATCTCCGGCGGCTATATCGAAATAAACACGCGGCAGCGACATCTTCGCAAATGCCGAAAATTTACGTAGGAAAGCCAGGTCTATTAGGTTTAATATCACATTTTCACTTGTCCGAAAACAAGTATATAAATAATTACCGAATAAGTTAAGTTAGACAAGTTGAAAAAAAGGTAATTTCCAAGAGGACTTCACAGTGGAACAGTAGAAACTGAACTGAATAAATTCCGGAGTAAGCTAGGAATCTAAACTAAAGCCGGTTTGAAATAAATTGCAATGCCTGCTTTATAAACACCTTCAAAGCAATAAGGATTCACAGCTTACTTAAATAAATCTATTTTAAAAAAGTTTATTTTTAATAGGAATCTTATTATTAGTAGAAAAACCCTCTTAGACACTCTAGAACCTTTAATCCCCTTTGTTTATGTACCCAAAGAAACCAGGCACCTCACTTTTGCTATCTTTATACTTCGCACTACGTAATATTGGAATCTTTATTTACTCTTCTAATTTGTTTAACCGACTCTTTAATCAACGCGAGCCCCGCAGATCGGTATTATTTACTTTTCATTCGGAGCCTTGTACAAACCTCACTTATTCCACCCGATGAGTGTGTGTTTGTATAATTAGGCAAAAATATGGTCAATATTTATGTGGCAAGTCAAATAACAAATTCCTCAGGAACTGTGAGAATTATTAAAGTTTTTAAGAAGCGGCTATTGCAATTTGAATTCATGCATATGTTTGTTTTCAATATGAACGTATAGCACTCCTTTAAAGTCGTTGTATTCCGATTTGTTTGTGTTTGGCTCATTATGTGTACACAATATGTGGTATGTACATATTGCAGGGTTTAGTTAGTTGCCAGGGTAACTATTGCTTTTAAAGTAGATATACACAACAATTGTTATGGAAGGAAACTAAGGAAGGTCTTGTACGATAAACTGTTAAAAACAGTTTATGTAATTAGAATTGTATTTTATTTTAACACTTCTTGAAAGGCTGAATGAAACACTACAAGTTATAAATTATCCTTTTATGCGATAATCTTATTCTTTTTATCATATTTTCTTGTCGAAGTTAACATTTAATAATCTTTAAACAGTATCCCATCGCAAAATGCCAAGAGTTCAAGATGATTTTGTGAAAGAAGTACTCGAGAAAAGGTGATTCGCACGTAGGCCGTAATTGTTAACTCAGATCTCCACTGTCTCATTACTTATAATAAATTGTTGTGCGGCCAAATAGCGAAGACAAGAAAGATACTACCCATAGTTGGCCAAGACAAGTGCGCCCGGCCTCAACTCACCTGAACTCGAACTCGAACCCGATTCGATTCGTTTTGACTAGTTACCCATTAATGTAACGCCCCGTTTGCCTTGGACAACCTTGTGCAAAAAAACAATATACGAAAAGGCAATATGACGTAATGGAAAGCGTAGGATTTCTACTTGGCAACTGCTCCCACTGCCACGCCCCCAGAAATTGGCGCCTCTTGCTTAGAGCGTGTGTGTGTGTGGGAACATAAATTCACATTATGGCCAATTCTTCGGGCGATTTTTCAGCTTAGATAAAAGGCAGACAAGAAACACTTTTGTGGGTTCGTTTTAACACTTACCAAGTGGAATTGGTAAGATAAGAGTGCTTGAGGTAGTTGGTTTTTGGCCATTGTAGTGCTTACCTGGAAGTAGAGGAAAATAAAGAACGAATTATTATTAGATTTGGAATAGCAAAAGGGAGATAATGGATATGGAAATGAGGTGAATGTAAAGTCAACACGAGAAGAAGTTAAATGTCAACCAAGGGCAAGTCTTGGAGAAAAAGAAAATTAACAAAAATGAAAGAGGTGTGAAATTAGAAAGAACAATGGAATTAATTTAATTTATATAAAATAGAACATCATATAAACTTCAATTTAAATTTAATTTATACAAAAAATACAGAAACTTTTTATTATATTGGCAATATAATTAACTTTTAAGCACTAAAAATAGTACAAAACCCTCCATAAATATTTATCGCAAGCCAAAAGACCGTTTTACTAATTCCCCGCCATCATCGATCGATCCATCAACTGAAAAGCGGCAAAGAAAATCGGTTTCTACGCCCACTCTCTATAAAAAAGACCACTGGAAATGGGCTTTTTGTCTGGCAGGTCGTGCCATTCCATTCGCCACCTGCTAGGGTCGTCTTATCGATTAAACAATTTTGCTGGCACCTCTGCTCGCCCACCTTATAATACGTATACCCTCTACGAGTCGAGGCCCGGCACAACATAAAAAGCATAAAGCCGAGTCGAATGCGATATGGAAGGAAAACACGAAAAACGCGACTGTAAGCCATAAACGAAAATCAATTTTTAACCCAAATGTGACGTTGACCCAGAAAGTATCGAAATCTTAAAGACAAACAGAGCCACACTCAAGGAATCGAGGCATAAACGTTGCAATTATCATAATTAATGCAAATGCGCCTTAAAGTAAACCGAAAGAAAGACGAATTAAATACTCGAAGCCGTTTACGAAAGCGTTTAGGCCAAATGGGGGGAAATTGTTGTGATAGGCTAGGTGATGCAAACCCATTAGGGGGAGGTTAATTGGTCGAAATGACAGGGAAATTTCGGGGGTTAGTCATATTTTAATTGAATTTAATTGAGTGATGTTTTGTAGTAGGAAAGTTGCGCAGTAAAATTTGGAGCTTAGTCAAATTTATTGGGAAATAGTAATAAAATATATTCTAGTAAAGAATTTTTATAGAAAAATAAGGAATACAAAAGTATTTAAACTCAATTAAAGATATTAGCATGTGTAGAATACAAATTAATAGTTGTTGAATTGCTTCACAAAAGAAATATATTAATAAAGAATCTCGTGCTGTGACCGTAGTATTTGTATTAAATAAAACGCTGTTCAATAAAGCCAAATGGTAATTTCTATTCCCGTACACTTCGCGTTTCTTTTTCCTTCCTGCTGGCTTTAGCTTCATTTGTATTCCATTTAATATATTTATGCATTCTATTAGCCAGACACCTGGTCGAAGTTTTGTTTATGCGATGTCTTGTAGGTGGCTGTTTCCAGTCAACGCCTTCTTCAATATGGTAAAGAAATATATATATATATTTTGCCAGGGGGATTTATTCGCTGCAAGAGATTACCAAATCCTAAACATTTTGCTTGGGCAACTTCAAAGTGATGTCGTCACCGCAGATACTCCACTTGTGCATGTATTAACCCAAAAAAAAAAGAGAAACAGATTCATTCCCCACATCTTTTGCCAGCTCTGACAATTGAACAAATTGCAATTGTGGCATTGTCTTGGGCCTGCCTACAGTTATAATTGCATAAGTGCGACGATGCAAAACAGCTGGAAAGTGTCTACAGATTTAATCAACCTCTGACAGCGCTGGGAAATCAGGGAAGACGATGTCAAGATCTCTCCCTCTTTTTAAGCCTTATGCAATGCGAACGGCTCAATCCAATGCGATTCTTTTCTTCCGCATTAGATTGTTGAAAAAGTGACCTCAGCTTAATTAAGCCAACGGAGCATTGAAAACTAGGAAAGGGGAAGGGGAGGGGGAGGGGGAAATTGGGGCAAACAGAAGTGAAAGAGGAATTAAATAGAAAATCGTATTTGGTGCAGTGAAAATCTTTTTGGATACGCTTAGCACTTTCCTGGGCATCGGGCCAAGGTGAGATGTGGAAAGTTTCACGGGTTTTCACCGGCCAATTTCAGTCAGGGGTTAAAACGAATTTTTCTTAAATGAAAGGGGACCCAAATAATACTCATTCTACTAGCACTTTGTTTAAGGTTTTCAAAATTAAAATAAATATTAACATAACACTATAAATGCAAAAACCTTTATTTAGATCAAATGTATTTTTTTTATCAGAATCAATACTCGCCAAAGTCGCTGCTTTTATTTCAAACAATATTTTAAAGCTTCTCTTTTGTAAAAAAAAAACAAAATAACTTTTTCCTTATTTAGCTCTTTATAAACGAAGGTGCATAAAGGTTCTCGACTTTAAAAAACTTCTGTTGTGATGCTCTTAGCTTAATTTGTATTCAGCGCCAGGTTTCACACAACAATCAAACCAAATGCGAGGCACTTCTATGCCTTGTAATGATCTCCTGGGCCAACTCCTCCAACCTGGCCAAAATCCCCCTGCCCTGGCCCACAAATTCCACTTCCGTTTGCCGCTGGCCTGTTGCATAAAAGAACAATCGCAGAGGGGCGTTTAAAAATTGATTCGTACGTGAGATTTTTCGCAAAAATCATTTTCACTTCAGTTTGTTTTTTCCGAGTTGTTTTTTCCTGTATGCCTTTCCTCCTTTCCTTTTATGGTCGTTGCTGGCGACTTTTACCAGTTACATACTCCTTTTATCTGTTTATTTTAAGCATTTATGCAGAAAGCAATTTTACATCTGTCGCATTGCCATAACATTGTTGTATCCCTATCAGCTCTCAGTTTTATTTTCTTTCCTTTCTTGCGGGAAGTCTTAAAGCTTAAGATGGCAGGAAAGAAAGTGTTCGGCTTTATATGATAAATATTAAAAAGTGTTTAGTTGTCGGATTAATTGAAGAAAGTTTTGGTAAAACAAATATTTTGTGTTGAACGCAAAAAAAATACATAACATTATGACTTTTCACTGCTATATATATTTTTATCTAAATTATTGCCTTCTTCTTCTTATATCGATATTTGAATTCCAACCGGAACTACTAAACATTTTAGTTCTTCCTCACACGATGATTTCCTCAAACAAAAGCGAAAATATACAGCCAAAGGCCCAAATGCTTTTCCGACCACTTTGGCACCAAATCAAAAAAGCTCTTACGTTGAACGCCATCATTTGGCCAGTGGGAAATCTAATTGGCGGTAATTCGAGGGAGGCTGAGTGAATTTCAATGACCTTGAGGCGCCAGTGCACTCCCCTTTTGGCCATGGCCAATTGCGGCGAGCCTGTTGAAATGCTTTTGCTTTTTTCGCTTTATATAATAGTCGGTGGAGCACAATCGAATTGGATCCGCGGAGATCGCGATAGACAACGGCAACCCACACAAGACCTGAAAACTGAATTTCACCTGCCAAGTAGCCACGAACTCCCCCAGTGAAAAATACCAGCGAAGGTGACTGCCACAGCGATTGAGGGAAAGAAAACACGTTTTATTTCATTGCGGCCGAAGATCCAAAGTGAAAAGTCACAGATTCACTTTTTCCAGGGAACTTTTTTCCCAACGAACATAGAAATGGCAATCAACCAAGTCG